GTACACTTAAGTCGTTATGGAGTAAGTACAGTTCACCTCTACATGAATATCATTAACCTTTGATTACTAAGTGTTCCCCTCAGCACCTGAAGTAAATCATCAGTTGTTGGCCAGAATAACATTTTAGTCATTGGCCAGAATAACTTTATATTTGTTATGACAGAACTCAGAGAGTTTATTATTAAGGAGTAAATGATCTTGTATACCGTTCGTACTTTTCATTCTCAAGCTTCGTTTTCATAGGTAATTATAGTGATAATACCTAAAGAATGACCCCTTATGACCTACGTGTCACACACAAACTCTTACCACTACCACTTCACAACCAGTACCACTTCCACTACTAGCTCACTGTCACTTTCCTGCTACTATTACTACCATGACCACAATCACTACCACTGTCTACTTCCCTGCCATTACCACTTCCCTACCATTACTATTACCACTGCAATTGCCACTACCATTACCACTTCACTACTAGTTCACTACCGCTTCACCACTAGTTCACTACCACTACATGATCTCATCTCTGGATTTGTTCCAGCTTAATTTTGTCTTTCACATAAACTTGTTTTGAGGCTGTCAGTTGATTGAAAATATTCAAAGGAGGGTCACCAGACTGGTGTCTGCACCTCGGCACCTCACCTACCTTGAGAGATTAGAGCGCCTGAACTTGCCTAGCTTATACTACAGACGGGCAAGGGGGGACCTAACTGAGGTATACTGTACTGTATAAGCATCTCAAGGGGCACTACTCAGTTGAGTGTCCTTACCTGGAGCTGGCGGACGCTCGCCCCACAAGGGGTCACAACTCAAGGTCAAAGAAGTCGCAGGCCCAGAAAACTGTGAGGGGTAACTTTTTTGGAGTGAGAGTTGTGAACTCTTGGAACAATTTGCCAGAGAGTGTTGTGACGGCACCGAGTGTAAGCTCTTTCAAGACCAGACCTGACCAACACTGGAGCAGGTTCAGATACATTCAGGAGCCGGTGCATGCCCAGTACTTGCCAACAGTGCGTAACAGAGACGTGACCGACCGCCCAAGCAGCTAACGAGCCGATCAGTGGCGAAGAGGATAAAAGAAAGTAAAAGTAAATATCCAGGTTTGTTGGCGATCCTTGAATATCCTGTTTCTCACTGTTTCAGTATATACCTGCACTGTCTATGTACATTTTTGGTATAATAGCACTGCCTGAATGCAAGCATTTCTAGCATGGTTATACTGTAGTTTTAATGCAGGTTACAAAATAGAATGGAATGTCGTTGACTCCTATTTGTTATCTGGTAGACGGTGGTGGCGGTGTTGATGTAAGGAGAGGGAGAGGTGCACCGACATTCTGTCGTGTTTAGTAATGTGTCCTCAATCTGTGATTGCTGATATTTATATGTGGATACACTGTAGGTAATATTAGGATAAACCAAAAAAACGTTATTGGATCTAATCTTTATTATGTGGACAACATTCATGCTCTCCATGCGAACATTTTTGCCATACCTGGGTACAATGAGGTAGTAGGCAGCTACCAAACAGGGAGGTACTACCGCCTGGGAAGAAATTGGAAGCATAATGTATTGTTTCATGGTAGACCCTGCTGCCATATGGCATCACAAAAAATTTGACCATGTCCCAAGTTGCTGATCTGACTTTCTGCCTCATTTACACACAATTGCAGGGTCTCAATTGTTTCTCTTACTATTGACAACACAACATACTCGGTCAATTAAACCCGTGGAGGTCCGCGTAAAACGAGGAACGTGTAAACAAAATAACAGAACATATGGGATTAATTGAAATAGAGACTGGGCCGACCCCCAGACTACACTTTTTCCGACACAATACGTACGTTGTAGTAAAAATAACATCTTAATTTTATGATGGTATGGACACACACATAATATATAAGATAAATATCAATAAGAGAATAATATATTGTACAGATGTAAGAGAAATACTGTATCACGGTTATTAACACTCACGTTAGTAGAAGAGATGGCTGGGCACACGGGGATGGCGGCTGGTTCCGAGGCAGAGGGTAGATTAGTGGCCCTCAGGTGAATCACTTGTATCACTATCCACCACAGAGGTTAGCAGGGCCTCCCTGACAAACCCCTCAAGGTCCATATCGTCACTGTCACCATCACTGACTTGGGCTGGCTGTGGTTGTGGTGGGTTGCGGGCGAAGAACTCGGTTATGTTACGTTGACGGCTAGCATTGATGTGGTCGTGATACATCTGGATATACGGCTCCATAGATTGCAACAGAAGGTTATTAGAGACTTCGTATCGGTGATTCACTGGGTCTGGAAAGTATGAGCTTGAGTTTCTCGGCAAACTCGATGGCCTCCTTTACATCACCATGTGTTAACTTCTGTTCTTCTTGTTCTGCCGTACCACCTGCCTCCTCACTGACGTCATCATCTTCCAACATCTCGTCTGCAGTCACCTCAGGTTGCCTGATTACCTCAGGATGTCGTCGTTGGTGGTCTCGGAGAAGCCTGCAGCTCTAACGCTCCGTTCAGCCTCTCTTGCAATGTCCAATGCCACAGTAACAGACTGAGCCTCTCCAGCCACCGCTTGACTCTGCCTCCCACCTGGGATACCCTGCAACACATGCCGCCACGCGTGACGAATCGTTGCCACAGACAGCTGCCCCCATGCCTCCACCAAGAAACCAACAGCTTTCTTGACGTTGAACATCTTCCAAAACTGTTTGACTCGTACTTCATGCTCCGCCAACTCTTGTTCTTGATCCTCGTCCTCACTCTCGCTATCGGTGCCACTCAGAAGGTTCCACAATTCATCCTTGGTGTTGGTCAAGTCGTTCAGGAGCCGAAACTTCTTTGCGGAGAAAGCAGCCTTGACGTTACATATCAACTCCTGATCCATGGGCTGGATTAACAACGTAGTGTTGGGGGGAAGGAAGACCATTTTTACATTGGGGTGACGATCCAACAGTAGGGGCGAGTGTCCTGGTGCGTTGTCAAGGCGCAACAAAATGTTGAATGGCACATTATTTTGAGCGCAGAATTTTTTCACGTCAGGAACGAAACAGTCGTCAAACCAGGAGAGGGACAGACCAGTGAACATCCACGCTTTCCTTGAGGTTAGCCAGTGGACATTTAACTTGCTCATGTCCATGTTTTTGTAGGCGTGCGGCTTGCTGGCTGTGTGGATCACAGACAACTTGAGCTTACAGGTGCCGGAGGCATTGGTGGCGAACAGGACGGTGATGCGCTCCTTCTGCAGCTTCCGGCCCCGACACTTGCTGGCAGACTTGACTACGAATGTCTTGGAAGATAATTTCTTCCAAAAGAGCCCGGATTCATCCATGTTGAACACCTGGTCGTCGGTGTACTGTCCTTCCTCCATAATTTCTTGTAAGAATGGAGGAAAATCCATCGACGCATCTGTCAGCACTCACTCCTTCACCAATAATTTCAACGTTTGTGATCTTGTTACTATGTTTAAACCCTTGCAGCCACCCAGCGGAAGCAGTGAAGGGTTTGGGCTCTGCAATGCCCATCTTTCACGCCACTGATGCGAACAGTTCTCTCGTGTAGTCCTGCACTGCCCGAGTGTCGACCGCCACGTTCCTTTTCGCCTGACGAATCAAATAGCTCACCAATAAATTCTCCTTCTTGAGTAGCACCTTATTCTGACAATACTTGACCAACGAGGCACCTGCAGACTTTGTGATGCTCATGTGTTCTTTTATCTTGGCGGCATCTTTCTTGATGGTGCGGATCGTAGATTCGTTAACGCCATGCTGTCGCACCAGATCCACCTGCCTCGTTCCTTTTTCGAACTCCTGAACGATTTTATATTTCAGTTCGTAGCTTAAGGCGCGTCGCACCTTCTTGGGCTTGGGGCGGCTTGGTCCAGGTAATTCAAGGTTCTTCTGGGGTGGTGAGGGTCCAGCAGATGCCATTGTTGAACAGATTAGCGGGCACAAGAGATACAGTAACTTTATACGCGGAGACTGAGAACAATGAGACTGGCGCACCTTAGGTCAGCGACTGGTGGCAGGGCACGTCATGTTACATGAGACCAATCACAGCTAGCGGCGGAGGGAATGCGTGGGTGGTAAGGATGCGTGGCCCAATCACAGTCCGATACGTCATATGACATCAGCGATAACGTAAGAACGACCTACTGCGCACCCTTCCAGTGCCGCTTACCGCGTATGGTCAAGAATGTACCGCGTAACTAATAATTGGAGTGTATGGACAGCGGTGGCGTGAGGGCGACCAGCTCGCAACCCGTCGTAAATGATGGAATGTACCGCGTAACTAATAATTGCCGTGTCTGGCCAGGTGCCACGTCAATGACCAAACGAGTTAAGGAATCGAGACTATAGTACTGTATATAATTTCTCACTATTGATCTTTTTTTATTTTTTTTATTTCTTTATGGTTCTTTATTATTAGTATTACAGTGTTGTTATTATTATTATTATCATTATTATTTTATTAATTATTTTTCAATTTTGTATTATTTTTTATAAATTTTATTTATCATGAATTATTATTATTATTATTACATTTTGGCCCCCCAGGCCCCGATGTGGGTCACTGACCTGTGCCCAGGTGGGCGAGTCCCCTTAAAAAAAACAAAAAAAACAATACTTTATTATGAAATTTAGCTAAATTTTGAAAAAAAAATTTCTATGCTCTCCTCCAAGGTGACCTGATATTGACTTATTTTACTTTAATCGAGTAAAACCAAGTTTGGTGTCTGTATGAATCACTCATGATGGCAATGAGAAAATATGTGAAGACAAGTTCTGGCACCACCACACAACCTGACACACCATGATAAAGCTAACCACTACCCTATTTGTACACATATATTGGTAGTTAGGTAGAGAGAGTGAACAGTGATGCTGTATTAACATAATAAGTACCACACTTGTGGCTTGGTGTCTCTATTCACAGCTAATATGTACTTTACTCCTACCAGTTCCTGTGCCTGTTGTACTAATATTTTGTTAATCTATCCACAGCTGGTACTTTGGAAAATTCTTGTGCCTCATGTATCAATTTATAAACCAACTGAGCTACACGGCATCAGTGATCATCCTGGTGGTGGTGAGCGGCGAGCGTTACCTAGCCATCGTAGAGCCACTAAGAGCCAAGAGCCTTCTCACCCGCAGGAATATGATAGTAGGTAACACGGCTGCTCTGTTACACCTGTACACACAACTTACCTGCCATTTTTATACCTGTACTACTTTTACTACACCTTTATCCCTGGCCTTGGTACACCTTAATGTTCACTTGCACCTGTGCTACTCCTCAACAGTTCTGTACACCTACTAAAGCCATACTATTGTACCTACACCTGTAGTACACCCATACTACTGTACTTACACCTACATCTGTAGTACTATAACTTTATCCTTATCTCACCCTATTATACAGTACTGTATTGTACCTGCCACTGTTACATCTGTATTTACACTTGCATTTATTTACTTTATTAACCTTATGACCATTTACTAAAGGTGGCCATGCTGAGGGAAGGAGGCCAGTGGCTGCTGTAGGATCCCTTCATTGTATATATGTACTGCACTTGATTCTTTTGTCAAGGGCTATTTCCAAGCCTAGTATTGTTCTTTATTCCACAGCTTGAGCTAGTAGACTAGGTCTACCACCCTCTTTATGAAGAAGTATTCACTTATGTTCATTCTGCATGATAACCTGGCGAGTTTGTAGTTATGTCTATTTGTGTTGGTCGTGCATGACTTCACAAAGAAGTGTCCTGGGTTCATGTATTCCATCCTTTTCAGGACTTTGTATGTTTCAGTGAGGTCTGCCCTGATTTTTCTTGTCTGAAGGGTTGTTACTCCTTAGGCCCTCAGTCTACTTGGATAATCAAGATGACATAGTTCCGGATTCTTCATAGTCGCTCTGTGTTGCATCTTTTCTAGGGATGTTAGATCTTTCTGGTTTCCTTGCCTGTATACAGTAATATACACTAGGATGTACAGACAGCTGAAGGAGCATTTTCCTGCCCTTGTATTTGAAGGTATGCCATATATCTTCTAAATCACAGTTTGATCTTCTCACTGCTGCCTCCACTTGTTGTGTCGCCTTCAGTGAGTGATCTATTATAAGGCGAAGATCTTTCTCCTTATTGACAGTATCCAGGAAAGTGTTATAAACAAGATAGTTATGAATAGGATTGTCATATCCTATGTGTAGGGTCTTGTATTTCATAATGTTAAAGAGCATTTACCTCTCTCAAGACCATTTGAACGGCTCATACAGGTCTTTTTAAATTGTTGTGACATCGTCTTGATTTGTTACCTTGCTAAATGTCTTTTAGCCATCCACAAATGCTGCGGCAGATGAGGTCATGAAATAAATGTTGTTCAAATTTCATATAAAGGTTTTCTTTTGTGTGCTGATGAAGGATTTGGGTTCCTAATTTAAATTTTTTAGTAAATAGTGTTAATTAATGACCATTGCAATAAAAAATCCTTTAAAATTTCTAAAACATCAATTAAGCTCTTCCTGTAAGTTTTAAATCCACCTTGTATATTATTTTCTCAAGAATATAGACTAACTTTACCATTTTCAGTACTTTTACTTACTTTTATCCTCTTCACCACTGATCGGCTCGTTAGCCGCTTGGGCGATTGGGCACGTTGTTTTTCACTTTCTAGAAAAATTCCATAAATTGACCCAAAAAAGGCCAGACCTAATACCTTGCATTTCCGAAGATGAGATCATGACAAATTTTTTTCATATGCGTACCGAAGGGGAGAGGGAGCGACGGAGGCAATCACTCCCCTTGCGCTGATAAATTATCCCAAATAAACATTTTAATAAGAAAAAACAATAATTAAATAAATAAAAATAATAGCATTTCAATTTCAGCAGTAAGCTCAGCATGAACGACCTGTGCAGAAAAAGATTAATTATCTCCTTCAGTATTTCAACAATACCTCGATATGTTTTGCTCAAAGTTTGCTCCTTCCGCCCACTTTGGCAAATTTATGGGTATGCCACTGGTCGTATCTGATCCCTGGTCAATTAATTATACAGGATTAGACAACCTGTTGGCCCAGTGATCTTATTTGACTTGCCTTAATCCATTTCAGCTTAATGTTGCCCATTTACATAATGATTTAATGTTTGTTTTTATTTTGAAGTATTTGTTAATTAATTTTGTGCATTTCTTCATTAAAACTGATTGAGATATTAACCTTAAAAAAGAGGACTCAACAACTTACCTTCCAGTTAAAGACAGAAAGACAGAATAGGTCAGTTTCAAGGTGAAGGTGACCGAGGAGCCTTAGTTGTTGTTAATGCTGCTTCAAATGTCTTTATTTTGGTTACAGATCACAATGGTGTTGGTGTGGATCATATCTGCTCTCTACTCCTGTCCCAGGCTTCTCTACTTTACGGTGAGTGTATGAAAGAATTATTAATTATTATAATCATAATAACTTGCTGCTTATTATTGAAGATTGGACACATTTACGGTAATTAGGACACAAATCACATGTTCACATAATAAAACAATCTCAATAAAAACCACACAGGAAAAGAGAAACACTGGAGCACCTACTTTCATTCCTTAAAGATAAATTGAATCTGTTAGATTTGACTATTGAACATTACATATTTCTCAAATTGATAGAGTTATGCATTACTGACAATGTTTTTAGAGCAAATGGAAAGTTTTACAAACAAATACTGTACTGTATATGTAGATGTACTTATCATTTTAAGAATTTTATTCCTGGGAAACTGTATTATGTGTTTGCCTGTGAGTATAGTAATACATGTAATGTGTTTTATTACATTGCAGGTGCAGGAGTATCCAGTGGAGGGCGGTGGGATAGAAGCCATGTGTTTGCTGCGTAGGGACCAATTTGACACCCGCATATGGGATGTGGTGAGCCTCACACTGCTCTATCTCCTGCCACTTGTCCTTCTGTCACTGCTGTATGCCCGCATTGCTCACACCCTCTGGCGCTCCGGACAGCTCCTGGCCAATGCAACCTCGCCCAATTATAACTCTGTGGAGGCAGCATCAGCGGCAGCATCAGCGGCAGCAGAGTATGGCACGTTCAAGACCCAACACACAGCCTCCGTCAGTTCCAACTCCAGCAGTGCAGGGGCAGCTAGTGCTGGGGTTGAAGATGGTGGACCATCAAAGATTCTGGCCAGAGATGCAACACTCCACGTGACCCGTGGCTCCGTCAAATCAATTATGTCCACTTATGTGTCCATGACATCTGTGAAGGAGGAGGGGTTGCGGGTCAACCATTTTGCTCCTGACATCATCCCCCTGACCCCCCGAGGTCACTCCCGGTTCGATAGGGTGGGGCGGGGCCAGCATGTATCGTCACCGAGGGTTCCCCGCCGCACCATGCACCTACATCCTTCACCACTGGTGTTGCGGGCACGTCGCAAGGTGATCAACATGCTGGTAGTGGTGGTGGTGAGCTTTGCAGCTTGTTCGCTGCCCTTCCACACAAGAAAGATGCTGCAGTATTACTGGGCCAGCTACAACCATAACTCTGATGCCTCCTACATCCTCACACCTGTCACCTTCCTTCTCATGTATGCCAATTCTGCTGTAAACCCCATCCTCTACACCTTCATGAGCCGCAAGTTCCGAACTTCCTCCTGTGACCTGCTCACTTGCCGCTTATGGCAGACACGTCTTTCCCGACCCCAGCGACCCACAGTGGTGGCCAGGCTCACTGGCCGAGACAAGGTCATCACACATTTGGTGTGAGACCACCACACTCTACCTGCTGTGGTTACCGCCTTCACTTCCCCAACAACCAAGTTATATAGTTATATACCTATTCACAGCTGAGTGGACTGGTGCTGCCCAAACTAACGACCTCAAGGACAGGAGACAACCACTTGGTTGATGCACCACTTCTTGACTTGACTGAGGAATTGCTGTTACTATAATTGACTCTCTCGTAGATCCTGTATGTTAGACTTGGGAATTTCACAAAGCCGAAGCCAAAACAAGCTATATAAAAAGTCATGAAGCCAAAGCCAAGGTTTCATGAAACCTTAACTCCATTTCTTATGTATTGTATTAACTTATATGTTGACAGGAATACAAATTGTATTCTAAGTTAAAGCAAGACTTTGACTCTCCCAGTTTACAGAAAAGGGCTGCTTATACTAATATTTTTACTTTCTTTGTTTTCTTTTATTCATTATTCATCATCATTCATTTTACTAATTTATTTCACTCATGCAATTATTAATTCATCTATTTTATCAACTATTTAAAACAAATTAATAATGCAAAACAAAGTCTGCAAAATATACATAAACATAGTAATTTACAGTCACAAATCACAGAGAAGCATATCAACAACTCATCTTAAGACTTTCAAAGGTGCAATGCTGAACAGATTCTACTGGGGCTGAGGAGGCAGAAGTGGTATTTGTCTGGGGTTCAGGTCAGGTTATTGTGAGAATAAACCAATAGAAAAAGGAAAGATCACTTATGATGTCATTGAGGTTGTAACGACCACTGGGCTTTCTTAGCAAGTCGGGTCATTGTGAGAACAGAAAGGTCAGGGATCAGCACAACTGTGATGTCACATTATGGTCAGTGTTTCTGTGTAAAGAGAATAATCGGAAGTAAGGCCTGTGGCTTGGAAGCCGAAGCCAGAACCATGCTTCTGGCTTTGAAGCTGAAGCCTTTAGATCGTTTCAGCCCATGTCTGCTGTATACAGAGTTACCAGTACAGAGGTGTATTGCATTTGATATATGTATATAAATAAGATATAGTTGGTAGCTTTAATATTGAGATATACTGCATGTTTCCACAGTATAAATGAAATAATTTTTATTAACGGTTTGTTGAGAGAAAATGGAAGCCAAGGGCTGAAAGTACGCAATGAATAGAAATTATGTAAATTACATTTTGTGATATTGGGGGACGGGTCATTTAACAAAAGCTTTTGACACAAATGGAGGAGGAAACAGCCAGGTATCTCTTGTCAAACTTATTATCCCACATGACCTCATGTTTCTCAGGTGGTCAAGTAGTTGGGAGATCAAAATCGTGATGAGCTGGTGTGTCAGCGATCGTATCCTTGCCCAAGTCAAGTGTCATTTTAAATGTGAATTTCTAAATTATGGCTGCATTGAAGTTATTGTCATTTTAGTCGACTCTCTCTCCTAACTCCTTCACTATGGGATGCCACTTTTGATATTTTATTTGGTTAATGCCTGACTACTTTGTACAGCACAGACAGGGTAAATGGGAAAGAATTTGATTCCAGTCTGTTGTTTATTTTTTCAATTTAAATCTAATACAAGTTATTGACATACTGTACTGTATTATGGTAGGTGTATTAAAGACTATTAAAGGCAATGTGGTCTTTGTAAAAAGAATTCCATTCTGAGAGATACAGGATATACATACAGTGTAGTGCTAGAATGGCACTTACATTAACCGAGAATAAGATGTCTTAGTACACCAACTTGCCATGATTAGTTTCCCGCCTACACAGCCTCCCGGGTAAGTAGCTACTTCCTATGGTTTAAGTATTCTGATTTCACTCATTTTATATCTCTCTACTGTGTTTCTTATTCACCAAAATTCTTTGTGTGATTCATCATCCTCTCTATTTCCTTTAAACAAGTGAGTTGATCTCTGTGTAAGATGCATTCTATTATCTCACTAGTCACCCAAAGGTCAATCCTAGTTTAAATGCTTATCACCTTTCATGGTTCTATGCCATCAAGAATGTCCATTTTCACACAAAACCAGTCAATATATTGTAGTTTATTTTGAACTAAGTCATTATTTTTATCCCTCATTAATCATACAGTATTTTGTTTACCAGGTGTTTTTTTATTATTTCTTTGATTATTTCTGCTGCAGTAAGTGATAAAGTGGTCATTAAGTCTAATAGGGATAAGCCCCATCCTGTTTGATTTTGTCTTGGCTGTTACACAAAAGAGTATAATATATGGTGACTGAGGAATTTACTATCTTGGTTGATGTACTAATTAATTGTCTATATCCATTTGTATCTAAAAAAAAAAAATTATGCATACCATTTCATTCCTGTCCATTGTATGTACAGTATTGAAGTCTATTTGTACTCAGGTTTCACAGTTTAACCTAATGTATGAAAACTCCTAGCAAAGTGTTCCAGAAACTAACTTTCATTCAGTGGGTGGTACTGTAGTGAATACCATCTAGGAGGGGGTTAAGCCCAGTAGGTGTAGGCCAAGTTGTTTCTTATGTGAGCACGTACATCAACACCTTATCTAATTCATGTTTGAAGATCTCGCCTCACACAAGAAACTTTTTTACTACGAGTTATGGTACAGTATGTTTTGTAACTGAAACTTGAGTTTTAAGGAAAGTTCTTTCTTGTATACATCACAATGTTGACAGGTTCTTAAGCCTCACACTCTCCTCCAAACATATTTGTGTGATGCCAGCCAGTCACTCTGCTTAATCCACTAAGCTATTATGTCTGCAATAAAATACTGATTCACCAAAACAAAAGGCTCTCTTATAAGTTTCTGCATCAAACTAAATACAGTACTGTACTGTACTGTACTGCACTGTACTGTACTGTACTGTACTGTACTGTACTGTACTGTATTGTACTGTACTATTCTGTGTTAACAAGAAACCCCACCTTTACAGTTACCAACTTTATTGTTACACAACTTTACAGAAATTCCCAAACATGACAATACTGTACAGTATTCACATTGTCATTCTTGTAAGTTGTTGAACCTTTTATTGTGTAAATTGAAGTTTATACAGTGTATATATATATATATATATTATATATATATATATATATATATATATATATATATATATATATATATATATATATATATATATATATATATATATATATATATATATATATATATATAGCATTGATAATAGAACTGAAGTATTATATCACTTTAGTTTATAGTATATGTACTGCATTAATATCTATATAACTGCACTATACAATACTGTACAGTATTTATATAATAATTTGTCAATTTATATTTAATCATAAAGTTATCATCACTGAGTGTTCTCGGGTGGTTAGACAGTATAGTCTCGATTTAGGAGGATTTCCTTTACGCTGTTGGTCATTTACGCGGTACCTTGCCAGATGCGACAATTATTAGTTACGCGGTACATTCCATCATTTAAGCTGGAAGCGGCACGGGCAGAGTGTGCGCTAGGTCGCCCAGTCAACAAAACATTACCGAGTTCTTTACCCGCCACCCACCACAGCCAGCCCAAGTCAGTGATAGTGATTGTGATAGTGAGGATATGGATTTTGAGGGGGTTTGACAAAGAGGCCCTGCAAGCCTCTGTGGTGGATAGTGATACAGGTGATACAAGTGATACAGGTGAGGGCCAATAATCTGCCCTCTGCCTCGGAACCAACCCCCCATCCCCGTGTGCCCAGCCATCTCTTCTACTAACGTAAGTGTTAAAAAACCTAATAATTTTGATATTTCTCTTAAATATTAATTGTGTGTGTCCATACCATCATAAAATTAAGATGTTATTTTTACGACAACGTACGTATTGTGTCGGAAAAATGGTAGTCTGGGGGTCGGCCCAGTCTCTATTTCAATTAATCCCATATGTTCTGTTATTTTGTTTACGAGTTTCTCGTTTTATGCGGACCTCCACGGGTTTAATTGACCGCGTAAATCGAGACTTTACTGTAGTATTATCTGTCTCTGATTAATAGGTCTTTAAATTTTACTTTTTTATTGTTTAAATATTGTATTATTTATTTTGTCCTCAATCACATTTTGTCTCTCCTAGTTTTACTCAATTTGTTTATTTATATCTTATTTTCAACATTTAACAAAGGTAAAACACCAAGAAAATAAATCTTGCATCACCCTGATGTGTGCACCAGTGGGTCTGTCACTCCAAAGTCATAACTCTCGACATCACGATAAACTATTTGAGTTATACTGTACTGGATGATACAGCGTTCACACGTTAGGTCACCTCTTGTGACGGCACTCCTGGTGTGACCACAACTGATGAAGTCAAGGTTATGCTGAGGCAGAAAGACAAGTTGATAAAGTAATTTAATTCGTTTTGGATTTTATATGTTTACTAGGCCAATACATTTTTTAAATATAGACAATAATTCAAATAATTTTAAGATTATCTACACTTTCCGTCTTCGTGTAATTTTTAAAGGAGATTTCCGAGGGTAAATTATGTGTATGTGGTATCCGTTGGTTTTAAAAAAACAAAGAAATATTTTCATACTGAAAAGATCATGACACGTGCGTGAACCACATTTTAAAAATTAAAAGACACCTATAAACTCCTGCTTGACTTATCTTGACACAGTTCAGTTAGTTGTGACGTCACTCTAGGACAGCCGGGAAGACGTGAGTTTTTAACTGTTTATTCTGTTTACAGTTTCGTGGTTTTCTCAAGTCAATATAAAAAAGTTTGGAAATTCCCAAGGTTGAATTAAATAATTTATGTAAGTAAATAAATCAAAGTAATGGCTTGTGCATATATGATAAGACATGGAAAGTGTGATGGCGATGCTTGTAAAGGGTTAATATAGTATTAGCAGTGATATCACCTGGTCGGCAGAACAGTTGGAGCAGATCACTTCTGAGGATCAAAGACTTACGGGTAATAGAAAATCTCTCAAATCCAGTAAGATCCCTCATCCCCAGAATTTTTCCAGGTTCTAGGAAAAATATCTCGGAATTTTCCAGAAATTACGCATTATTTCATCCCCCAGAATTTGCTCCCAGACCCGGAAAAAAAAATATTTGGAGATTGTCTTGATATTTTCTCAGAATTGTCAGAAAATGTGCCTGATTTTCAACCTCGGAATTTGTTCCCGGACCCAGGAAAAAAATGGAGAGAGTCCGGAATTTTCCAGAAAATATGCCCGACTTTCAACCTCAGAAAATTTTTTGACAGACCAGGAATTGAGAGAAATTTTCTGGAAAAATTCTGAGCAAATTTCAATTCCGGGTATTGGAGGGTTGTGGCTAAGAGGGTTCCGGATAACAGAGTTTTTTTTATCAGTTTTAAGTTATTTGGTTTATGTACTGTACCATGTTTTACATTACACATTAAGACGCTACAAAAAAATTGACCCATAACAAAGGAGAAACAGATTTACTCGTCTCTTTAGATACGATATGACTTGTTCAAACTATGATATTATTTTGATATTTCAAATTTGTATCCATTTTGTGGATCTGAGGTTGACCTTCAATAATCATGTACTTATTTATAATGTATGTTTTATTGTACTTTTTTTATTTTCTGAACATAGTACTGAACATTATTAGTTATACTTTAGTAATTAAAATTAAATTTTTAATTCATTTCAATCTTTATAAATAAACTTTAATTGTGATGTTGTATCACTAATTATAAATGCTCACAACAATATAATGTTCAATATATATATAATCAAAGTGTGTTTATATTTTGTGTCGGAAATAAAGTATTTCATGTAAAGTTTGTGTTTTATGTCTATATAGTAAACTCTGTAGTGTTCCAGGGTTCACCTGTACCTTTACCATCTTATTTTTACATTATATCTATACTATGAAGAATTTATTAAGTACAGTAAATTACAGTGCAGTACAGAACAGTAGAGTACAGTACAGCACAGTACAATACAGCACAGCACAGTACAATACAGTACAGCCCAGTACAGCACAGTACAGCACAGTACAATGCACCACAGCACAGTACAATACAGCACAGCACAGTACAGGACAGTACAGTACAGCACAGTGCAGCACAGTACAGTACAGTACAGTACAGCACAGCACAATACAGCACAGCACAGTACAGTGCAGCACAGTACAGTACAGTGCAGCACAGTACAATACAGCACAGCACAGTACAGTATAGTGCAGCACAGTACAGCACAGTACAGTACAATACAGCACAGCACAGTGCAGCACAGCACAGTACAGTACAGCACAGTACAGTACAGTACAGTAGTACAGTACAGTACAGTACAGCACAGCACAGTACAATACAATACAGCACAGCACAGTACAGTGTAGCACAGCACACTGCACAGTACAGTACAGCACAGTACAGTACAATACAGCACAGTACAGTACAATACAGTACAGCCAGTACAGCACAGTACAGCACGTACAATGCACCACAGCCGTAATACAGCACAGCGTACAGGACGTGAGCACAGTGCAGCACAGTACAGTACAGTACAGTACAGCACAGCACAATACACACAGTACAGTGCGCGTACAGTACGTGCAGCACGCAATACACAGCACAGTACGTATAGTGCAGCACAGTACAGCACAGTACAGTACAATACAGCACAGCACAGTGCAGCACAGCACAGTACAGTACAGCACAGTACAGTACAGTTCAGTATAGTACAGTACAGTACAGTACAGCACAGCACAGTACAGTACAATACAGCACAGCACAGTACAGTGCACAGCACACTGCACAGTACAGTACAGCACAGTACAGTACAATACAGCTACAGTACAACACAGTACAGCACGTACAGTACAGTGCAGTATACTCAACACAGTACAACACAGCACAGCACAGTACAGCACATACAGTACAGCACAGTACAGTGCAGCACAGTACAACACAGCACAGCACAGTACAGCACAGCATAGAACAGTACAGTACAGTACAGTACAGTATAGTGCAATACAACACAGTACAGCACAGTACAGTACAGCACAGTACAATACCGCACAGCACAGTACAGCACAGTACAGCAGCATAGTACAGTACAGTACAGCACAGTACAGTACAGTACAGTACAGCACAATACAATGCACAGCACAGCACAGTACAGCGCAGTACATCAGTACAGCACAGTACAACAGTACAGTACAGCACAGTACAGTACAGTACAACAGTACAATACCGCACAGCACAGTACAACTGTACAGCACAGCATAGTGCATAACAGTACAGCACAGTACAGTACAGTACAGTACAGCACAGTACAATACAGCACAGTACAGTACAGTTCAGCACAGTACAGTACAGCACAGTACAGCACAGTACAGCACAGTACAGTACAGCACAGTACAGCACAGTACAATACAGCACAGCACAGTACAGCACAGTACAGCACAGCATAGTACAGTACAGTGCAGTACAGCACAGTACAGTACAGTACAGTACAGTACAGTACAATACAGCACAGTACAGTACAGTTCAGCACAGTACAGTCAAGTATGTACAGAAGTATTAAAAAAAAATACTTTATATTATTACAGTAGTGTACGTCTATAGAAAATTGTATTAATTGCAATGATTGTTAATCTGTTTATAAAATATAGTTGTGTAGCTTTGTACTTTTCTTGTACCTCACAGTTGGTTATACTAGAAGGAATGGTGGTACAGTACTGTACTGCTTCTGTCACCCCTTTCAAACACATCATATTAAGCTTTTTAATGCCTATTGAAAGTTGTTTTATGTATCCCATTAAAAGTATTGTAAGTAAAAAGGAGTCCCATAGAGCAGAGTAGGGTAGTGTGGATACAGTACACTCAAGTCAAAGCCTTTTTTTTCAGCAGAGAGAGAGAGAGAGGGGTGATGTGGCCAGCCCTGCACACGATCGCCTTCACTTTCCAACTTGTAAGGTTAGGAACCCATGTTTAGTTGTGGGATCGAGCATTATATGTTCTCACTCATTGTACTGTACTATAGTCCTTCCTATTTTTAATATGGTAAGTCCTGTACATTTGTCTTAACTATTTAACACGTTTAATGGTCTTAGTACATTACATTACATTACATAGCTCATCATATAACAGCAGTACATATCAAAATTAATGACATCAGATAAAATAACATCTTATACCATTATAACATTCAGAAACGCTAATACTTAAACCCAAACACCAAGTTGAGCATGCATACCAACACAACACTTACATATTTGTAACAATATACTGTGTATTATGTGTAGGCTATATATATAAAATATGTGAAAATGCTCTGTTTAATGCTGTGTATGTTGTGTTTAGGTTAAGTTGGGTTAGACCAGGGTAGGTAAGATTTGGCCCAATGTGAAGTTTAAATAATTTTTTTGCAGTTCTCTCCTGAACAATCTAACCTGTCACTCTGGGCAGCCATATAAGACTTGTTAACTTCTTTCCTTCCTTAAAATACCAAGCTTAAAACCCCAGAAGGAATAAACCCCCACTCAGCAACTCTCTCAGATAATTGTGATAATTGTGTTAATAAAGAATACAGTTTGAAGAATGAGTTCTTATATAGAACAAGACTATTAAACACTTGCTTGGGAATCAGTTAATAAAGTTGATAAGGTTACTGGATTATAACTGTTTGCTTTCACCTCTAACTTTTTTTTTATTTGAAAAATAATCCATTTAGGTTTCACTAATCTTTACCCAATTATATATGTACCATATCCAATTCAGTTCACTTTAACATGTCTAAACAAAACAAAACAATGTGATATTCTTACCAATCATTAGGTTTCCTTAACACACAGAATAATAACTTTGTTATTGTTGATTTGATGTATTGGCTGTCAACACCTGTAACATAGTCAGGTTTGCCTCTCGTAGGTTTATCTTGATGGACTGTTTCTGCAGCTTGGAATAGCACAGGAGGATCCAAGACAGTGCTGGTGTTCTTGTAGGATGTTGCTGTTGTTTCTTCTTCCATGAGCCGACCAATCAAAGGAACAGCGCACAGACACATTTTGGGGGTTGATGGACTGCTTGGAAGGTGAAGGGTTGATGGACTGCTTGGAAGGTGAAGGGTTGATGGACTGCTTGGAAGGTGAAGGGTTGATGGACTGCTTGGAAGGTGAAAGGTTGATGGACTGCTTGGAAGGTGAAGGGTTGATGGACTGCTTGGAGGTGAAGGGTTGATGGACTGCTTGGAAGGTGAAGGGTTGATGGACTGCTTGGAAGGTGAAGGGTTGATGGACTGCTTGGAAGGTGAAGGGTTGATGGACTGCTTGGAAGGTGAAAGGTTGATGGACTGCTTGGAAGGTGAAGGGTTGATGGACTGCTTGGAAGGTTGTCTGATTGAATTTAAGATGACTGAAGTAGTAACACAGGTATGAGTTGGGACTGTACAGTACAGTACTACAAAAATTGGTGAAATTAATTTACAAATGTAATTATGTAATTTGATTTTAGTCCCTTTTTTATTATATTTTAATACATTTTAATATTTTATTGGTTTTTAATCACTTTTTCTGAATCTTTGGCAAAGCTGTATATATGGTTAATACTGTACAGTATATACCTTATCAATAGGAAACAGCTCCACTGTGAACACTGTTATGTGGTCTGACAAATGATCTCGATGCTAGTATCAGTTTTGGACCCATCTGTATTAAGACACACGTGGTACCAAAACACCAGGAGGAGCTCCAAGAATTTAATACATATCTCCTTCGGGGGGTCTGCTTCTTCCTTCGTAGCCACTCAGTGCAGACAAGTGGTCTCATGGCTGCCCAATGGGGAATCTTGGCATATACATGGTGGTCTGTATTAGTAAATGAGACCCCATTTTGTTGTGTTAGGAGGTGGAGGTGGGCGGCTTAGCAATTTATACCCACAAGGGCGTCGTAACCTCCATGGGCCAGAGCTCTCTAAGCTGGGTGAGAGGCCTTATGTTTCCTTGCCACCTTGTACCCTCTTCTACAGAAGAGGGTGACAATTATAGGCCTGTCCTGCGGCAGTAAACACGTTGATTCATCTATCCAGTTACCTGTATCTTCTTGGCCTATTACCATCACGTGGGACACATTGGAGGAACATGTTGACCCAGGGAGCATCTTATCCTGTTCTTGTGAGTTTATCCCAGATTAAATTTTTCCTTTATGTTTGCAATGGTTTGAATTTTTGGTACAACTTTCACAATAGATCATTTTGTATCATTTATGTGAGTCAATACAGTATTTCAATATTTGTCAAGTACAGTAACATGCTTCTCTGATGCATTATGTTGTGTCTGATATAAGTTATTTTACCATTAATATGTTATGAAATTTCCTTCCTTGTCTTAAATTATTTACAAATTGAAATTGGGTCCCATAGGCATGACTGCCCATTAAGGACAGTGTGGACACAGCACACTGTATACTAAGCCTTCGGTACACAAGGAGGCAGCATGGCCGGTACTGCACTCGACCGCCTTCACTTCCCCAAGTTGTAAACTTAGGTACCCATTTACAGCTGGGTGAACTGGGAACGTCCAAGACTTGAACCACTGGCCACTGAAACAGGAGGCGAGCGCTGTATAAACTCAACCACCGCACACCAAATATATTCTTCTGATCTTTAAGGGTAAACAAAACATCAAGAAGAGTTTACACAATATAATTATCAATCACAAAGTTGATTTTTATCAAGAGGAAAGTTTCATCTAACTCAGGGGTGGGGAAACTGGCCCCCAGGCCATTTGTGGCCCGCCGAGGTCCCAGGATGGCCTGTGGCCATACTCAAGTTCAGTGTTTTTGTCTCCTTTAAAGGAAGGCTCGGAGGTATAAAATTAGTCGATAGATTTGAATGAAATTTAGAGGATTAATATACACTCTTATATGACTAAATTAAAATATTGGAGTTGCATTGGAATGATCTTCCAGGGTAGCGGTCATACCCATTAATTCTGCACAGAAAATAATTAACATTGAAAATAATAGGTGACCCCATAAAACCCTTAATAATTTCAATCTGGCTCACCGACCTCAAAAGTTTCCCTGCCCCTGATCTCAGTAGATGTTTGTATTATACAACAGATACAATCACTGCATCACCAACAAGTATAAAAATATAACCATTATGTTTGCATTTGTATATTAAAAATATTTTGTACCTGGACACACTATATACAGTATCCTGAAATGTACATGATGGTGATCCTTGTCCTGTGAGCCCTACGTGGTCTATGTTCCTCCTGACCCTCACACCTCAAGTGCTGCTCTTGAGGTGTTATTCCTGACCCTCACACCTCAACTGTTGCATCTGATCCTCACATCTGATACAATTAGTACAGGTGGTACAGCTGGTGCAACTAATGCAGATGGAAATGGGTTTCATAAACCAGGTGACCTGATATCGTGTGCATAGAGCACAGTGTACACTAAGCCTTTGGAACATAAGTAGCAGAATAGCCAATACTACATCTGACTGTGTTCACTTTGCAGCTGTAATGTTAGGTATTCATCTACAGCTGGGTGGACTGTGGTCGCCCTTACAACAAGAGGCGAAAACTGTATCCACTTAGCCACCTCACTAAACCCTAACTTAATCAAACCATAACCTAACCTAGCCAGATTTACCCCATATTTTACTTTATCAAATTTTACCAACCCCTAACCTAATCAAACCTAACCTAAACAAACGGTAATCTAACCTAGCAAGATTTACCTCATACTTAACTAAATAAAATATTACCAACCTCTACCCTAACATAACTTAACACTTATACCCAAAAATAACTTAACCTAAAGGAATACATTATTCTAATATTGAGATACTGATCCAATTCTGTGTCCGGTGATCTCTCGACACCTGTGATGTGACTACTAAATTAAGGTTGCGTTGTAAGTGGTGGGAGACAGCCATGCTGGAATACATGAAGAGTTACATCACTCACTGTGTTTCCTTCCTTTTATTAAAACAACACTTATGTACTGTTGCCGACAGGTATAGTGTTCCACCCTTCACGTTACCGATTCATTTATAAAGTGATGCCGACGTTGTCACATGTTTGGAAAGGCCACTGAGGGGTGGAAACACTGTACTTGTGGGCAACTGTACAAGTATTTTTATTAAGGCAGATACATGTGTGTTTTCTGCCCTCAACCTCATCTTGTGACATTACAACACTGTGTCCTGGGTAAGTGATGTGGCAAGACTGTCTCCCAGGGAACGTGACACCAGAAGCAGTCAACCATTAACATCACAGTTGGCAGGTTTTCATTGTTGGTTCTGTAAAGTATAAAGTTAATGAGGACTTCCACACAGTTTATTACCTTTAAGTTTTAATTATTGATGGCTTGTGTAATCCCTTACCTAGCAGTAGTACTGTAGTACCATTATTATTATTATTATTATTATTATTATTATTATTATTATTATTATTATTATTATTATTATTATTATTATTATTATTATTATTATTATTATTATTATTATTATTATTATTATTATTATTATTATTATTATTATTATTATTATTATTATTATCATTATTATTATTATTATTATTATTATTATTTGAGGTCATATAAAAAAGTAGTAATGATAGTAGCAACATTAAACAAACCCTTTTTAACGAGAATTAACATTGCCATACCATCATAACGACAATCATTACCACCACAATCCCTTCCACTACCACCAATAATATCACAGCCACAAACACCACACTATAATTTACACCATCACCACAACCACTATTGCTGCAACCATCACCACCATCATCATTATCACCATCTCCACCACTATCACCACCACTACTATCACCATCATCACCATCACTACTACTAACATCACTTACCAAGAAACTGGGTCACCGGGGGACTGGTGACAACAACAGCAGCAGCAATACACAGCAACACAGCATCCGCAAGTCACAGCATAATGTGATACAGTTGGCTGTGTGTACAGCAGCTGACTCTTCCCCTGCAACGCATAGTGAAGTGTTTATAATAGTCACCAACTTTTAGAGAATATAACTAAATATGTTTGAGTGTAGAGCAAAGGAAGGATCCCTCTGTCTGGAGTACCATGTGAGACAGTCTGTATGAAGGTACCTATGGTGTAATGGTCAGCATGCTCGCCTCGCAAGTGAGTGGTCCTGGGTTCGATCCCCGGGCAGGGTGAACTATGGCAAGTTTATTTATGCCATTTGCCTCTGTCTACCCAGAAGTAATTGGGAACCTAGATGTTAACGATTTGTGGATGGTGTTCTGGGATAATGGTTAGCCAATGCAGTAGTGAGTTGTCCGGTCTTCTCGGACTATTCCTTGACACTGGGTCATGCAACTCATTAACTTAGGGTGTGGTTGTTGTGTTGGCAACAGCTTCTACACTATAAAAAAAAATATCACGCCTAGGTGGCCCTTGGGCCGGCCATCCTCGTATAAGAGGGGCAACCATTATTATATATTATATGAAGCACACTATGAGTACTGAGCCTCGATACACAAGGAGTCTAAATGAAACTGGTTAGATTAGGTTAATAGTAAGCTAGAGTCAGGTTATATGTTAAATGTCTGGGTACAGTGGCAGATTGGCTACAGCACTCACCTTTTATCCTGAAGTTACCTTGTTCGACCCCAGGACACCACCAATCTACCTCATGGAAATGAAAACCCAACTCAAAAAAATGGGAAAAGTAAGGTGGTTGAGTGCAGTGCTGGCCTCACTGTCTCATGTTTAGAAGGATTAGCATACAATGTGCTATACACACACTGTCCCCTAATTGCCCATCATACCTATGGGACCTATGCTCACTTTTAAGTTAATTAGGTGTTAAGATAGGCAGTTTTTAGCATTACCAGTCACCACTCACTCATCACTCAGTCATGGAACAAGACTCACTCATCACAAAGTTATGGATCAAGACTAAACAGTGTTGAGTCGTGACTCACCATTAACAACATGCACCATAACAGATGCGGGGTCGGCCAAGTGGGGTACACAGCTATAGTTGCCTGAGTCTCCTCTCATGGCTCTGGTAAGGAAGAGCTTGGAGATGGTCCTTGTGGGTGTCTTCTCTATCTCCAGACTGACGCCACCCCTGTGGAGAGTATCACCACTGATGAGTTACCTCCTCTTCCTCCTCCTGAACTAACAAAATGAACCCCAGTAGGATTATACCTCATCCTAACCTTTACCATCATATCCCTTTCCTGACATTTCATAGTGCAGTGATATCCCCATTAGCCAGAACAATTGGTGCTGAGCACTTCTGGGAATGAAAGATTTCCGGGTAACGGAAAATTGTTCTCGGAATTTCCAGAAAATGTGCCTGATTTTCATCTATCAAACCCGGAAAAAACTCCCCCATCCCCGTAATTTTACGGAAATCGGGAAAATTTTCTTGGAATTTTCCGAAAAATGTGCCCCATGAAAATTTCATTTCCGGCTATCGGAGAGTTCCGGGTTTGAGAGATTCCGGCTAACAGAGATATTACTGTAAACTAATTGGGACTGGGGCACACTAGGACTGGGGCACACTAGGACTGGGGCACACTAGGACTGGGACACACTAGGACTGGGACACACTAGGACTGGGGCACACTAGGACTGGGAAATGATATAATATTAACACAAGAAGTTACAAAAAAATTCCGAAGGGTCTGTTTCTCAGTTGATGGGGTGTATTTCTCAGTTGATGGAGGTGTATTTCTCAGTTGATGGAATGTATTTCTCAGTTGATGGGGGTGTATTTCTCAGTTGATGGGGGTGTATTTCTCAGTTGATGGGGGTGTATTTCTCAGTTGATGGGGTGTATTTCTCAGTTGATGGGGTGTATTTCTCAGTTGATGGGGTGTATTTCTCAGTTGATGGGGTGTATTTCTCAGTTGATGGGGTGTATTTCTCAGTTGATGGGGTATGTTTTCCAGTATTGTTCTGAGTTTTTTTAGCCAATTTCATTACAGGTTATCACACTTCCCAAGGCCAGAGTTATCAGGTTTTGTAACAATTTTAGGTTGTGGGGGCACGACCCAGCTTTGTCCTCCGTGTAAAATACCTCTTGTACCTGAGGTGCGGTGGCTGAGTGGATACAATGCTTGCTTCTTGTCCTAAGGGTTGTTCGTTTGTGACCGGCATACCACCAGTCAACCCAGCACTAGATGAGGTCCGTAGTTAACTTTATAACCGGGATTGAGAAGGCAGTCAAGTGCACTGTCGGTCTCACAGCTTCCTCATGTAGCGAGGGATTATTAATTAGTGTGCTATTTTTATACTGCCACAGCTGGTCGCCAGGCCTGTGTCGCCTACATTCACTTTCACCTCAAGCAGAACCTAACTCTCGATCCTACTGATAACTGTGTCTGCTGTTGATGTCAGCTTGGCCTGCTGGTCTCAACCTAACCAAGGCATTTAGTCTTGAGCTTATTAGGTCTGATTCTCATTGGGTTTGGGGTCCAATGGGTCTGAGGCCAACTGAGATTGGAGCACATTAGGATGGGGGCCCACTAGTAGTGGAGCCCATTATACCTGTTGCCCATTGGGACTGGGGCCCATTAGGACTGAAGTTAAGTAAGATTGAGACTAACTAGGAATGGGACCTACTAGGATTGAGGCCCATTAGAATTGTGGGTGTATGCATGTGTGTGTGTAATTGGGAACCTGGATGTTAATCGATTTGCGGATCGTGTTCCGGGGTAATGGTTAGCCAGTGCAGTTGGTGAGTTGTCCGGTCTTCTCGGACTATTCCTTGACACTGGGTCATGTACCCTGTTAACTTAGAGGTGTGGTTATTGTGTTGGCGACAACTTTTACACCTAAATCAAATTCACACCCACTTTTACTTTTATCCTCTTCACCACTGATCTGCTCGTTAGACGCTTAGGCTATCGGCCCTAGCACCGGCCATCCTCGAACACGGGAGGCAACCGTTATAGTGACTCACCTGGTGAATAATGGGATACTAGTGACTCACCTGATGAGTAACGGGGTACTAGTGACTCACCTGGTGAATAATGGGATACTAGTGACTAACCTAGTGAGTAATGGGGTACTAGTGACTCACCTGGTGAGTAATGGGGTACTAGTGACTCACCTAGTGAGTAATGGGGTACTAGTGACTCACCTGGTGAGTAATGGGGTACTAGTGACTCACCTGGGAGAGTCGTAGTCCAGTTCATTAGAGTCCCGGTACCAGGTGACCACACCGATGTTGTCCTCATGTGTAGTGACGTGACAAGTAAGTTTGATGGTGGAGCCGTTCTGGATGTACACTTCACGGGGCCCGTGGATCCTCGCTTGCTGCACTGTAATACAGGCCTTTCTCACAGCTGGACCGAAAGTCAAACTTAACTTATCCCTAACACAACCTAATGCACAGTACATATACGGTACATGCACTGAGGGTATATATATATATATATATATATATATATATATATATATATATATATATATATATATATATAGGATAGTGAAAGAAAATTTAGTTTGCGCTTTCGTGTAATTCACCCCTGAAGATGTGAATTACACGAAAGCGCTTGGGAACTTCGTGTTTTCTTCTTTCCTTGTGGTTATCAGCATATACCTAGATCGCACCTACAGTGATTTACTTGCATACATATATATATATATATATATATATATAATAATTTACACCAATTGTGTACAGTACATGAAATGCCTTGCACTAACACTGGAAACTAGAACGCTGAATTGTTAATTGCTTAAATTGAATATATTTAACAAAACAAAGCAAAATGACAAAGTTCTACGACTACAAAGTGAAGTAACTGTAGACTAGAGATCGTGACTCACTTGTGGCCTACAGCAGCATTACTTCTCTTCCTCAAGTAATCTCAACATACTGTATGTACTCACCGCCCACAAAATTAAACACAGCCAGTAGGAAGCGTCACTGCTGTCACCACTAATATACTGTACTCAGGAGTATCATTCACTATTGCATTACTGTACTTTACGTACAGTAATGAGTGTACACAAAGTAACAAGTACTGCAGACTGCAGCTTTAACGTGTGCTACTGCCAGGCCGTTACCATGGAAACATCTCAATCCTCACACCTTCTGTCCTCACATCTATTTTCCTCACTTCTACTGATCTCATTATTGTCCTCACTTCTACTGATCTCATTATTGTCCTCACTTCTACTGATCTATTGTCCTCACTTCTACTGATCTCATTATTGTCCTCACTTCTACTGATCTCATTATTGTCCTCACTTCTACTGATCTCATTATTTTCCTCACTCCTACTGACCAAACAGAGTAGGTTAGTGTGATGTGCTGACCTTCCACGGCGAGGTTGATGGGTAGGAAGATCTTGGGGTTGGTTGGAACTTGACACTCGTACACGCCACCGTCTCTGAAGGTGACCGAACTGATCTCCAGGAACCACTCATCACTGTCCACCGGGTGATACACCTGCGGGAGAGGTAGTGCTGGTGAGTGGGAAGGTGGTGATGAGTGGGATAGTGTTGGTTAATGGGGATTTAGTTATGAATGGGGTAATGTTGGTGAGTGGGAAGGTGTAGGACATAGAATACATTTAAAAAAACTTTAGTCATATATATGAAAGGTATTTTGATATATGACACTATAACTTAATTCATCCGCTATAGTAATCCCGTAACTGTTATTTATGGGACCAAAATGAGACCTCGGTTGGATCTATCACACCGTCCTTCATATATTAGCCACACTGTCAGGTATATTGGTATCCGTACCTTCAATACTGGCAGACTGAGGTGTTAGTGGAGACACACAGCCCATTAGTCGTTACCCAAACAGATGCATCTCTCTTGGTGTTGAATTGCCATTTTTGAGAGTATTTATTTAACGTAGGTGTCGCTCTTAATGACCAAAGGGTTGAATATATACACGTTAACACTGCCAACCAAAAAGAACTAACAGAATAAATACTATCAAGAGACACGTAAACAAAAAATTAACATAAGGAGGCGCTCCAGTGTGTGAAGCAAATGTGACGCACCATCAGTAAACAACAGTGTGACGCACCATCAGTAAACAACAGTGTGACGCACCATCAGTAAACAACAGTGTGACGCACCATCAGTAACAACAGTGTGACGCACCTTAAACCGGTCGTCACTGGTGTAGGTGTAGATGCCAGCCGTCAGGATGTGAAGGTCCCGCTTCCGGATCCACGATACCTGAGGTTTAAAAAAGAGGATTATGGTAATAGTGGTGGATCATGGTAATGGTGGTGGATCATGGTAATGGTGGTGAATCTGGTAACGGTGGTGGATCATGGTAATGATGGTGGATCATGGTGGTGGTGGCGGATCATGGTAGTATTGGTGGTGGATCATGGTAATGGTGGTGGTAGATCATTATAGAGGTGGTAGGTCATGGTAGTGGTGGTGGATCATGGTAGTGATGTGATGATGACGCAAGTAATGGTGAAGTCAGCTGGTGATGCGGATATCATGTTAATGGTGAGAATGAACAAACATGAGTGGCACAGGTAACACTCGTCCCTGGTGGCTCCCGTGCAGTACGTCTGGGTAGCCTTAAAGAACCAGGGAGATATAATGATAGATGTTTGACCCAATGCTAGACGTTGTCAAACTCTTACAGGTATCAAGAAGAACAACATAAGGTTTACCGAGGTTATTTAATTCTAGATCACCTGAAGATTAGGTATCCCAGGTTATATCACGCGATAATGCTAACCTAACCTAACCAAGCCTAACCTTACTTAACCTAACTTAACCTAACCCCTACAGATAATGTGTTTAATCATCACGTAAAATAAGCTGGGATGCCTAATCTACAGTAGATCCATCCTTGGATAAAAGATTTGTGGAGATTATTATGTCAACTTACAGTTCTCTTGTCCAGGTTAAGTACCTTGCAGGGCAGTCGTGCCTGCTGCCCCACTACAGCCGTCACGTTAGTGTTGATGTCTCTGGCGAAGTACGCTGTGTTTGTATTGGGTCGTCCCCACGTGATTTGTTGCTGGGACGACCTGGCCCCACTCTGTCTGCCTGTGACAACACAACACACCATGGTTAACTTAATGTTAGGTTAAGGTTGCCTTCAGGCTAGGTTAAGGTTAGTAAGGCTTGGTTAAAATTATGTTAAGCTTAGGTCCGACCCCTCTCTTTTCATCTGAAAATTCAATACTTTTTCTTTAATACAATATTATACGGAGGCGTTTTTGTATAGTTAAAAGTGATTACTATTGACCTCAGAATATCTCTTAATATCATGTGCACATGGCTTCAAAATGGTCTCAAAATGCCCATAATATTGGTCAAATTAAAAAAAAAACATCGGGGTATTACAGCGCTCCCCTCAAACCGCCGTCGGCTAGGTGGGCTCGATGTGCTCTCCATGCTCCTCCGCCCACAACATCTTGACTCCCCTTTGATAATCCTGTATCCGCCCTGGAAAGTTATATTAAGACTAGGTTAATGATTACGTTAGGGTTACGTTAATGCTAGGCTAGGCACCATCAAGGACACTCCATCACCCTGGCACCATCAAGGACACTCCATCACCCCGGCACCATCAAGGACACTCCATCACCCCGGCACCATCAAGGACACTCCATCACCCTGGCACCATCAAGGACACTCCATCACCCAGGACACACTCCATCACCCCGGCACCATCAAGGACACCCATCACCCCGCACCATCAGGGCACCATCACCTCGGCACCATCAAGACACCCATCACCCGCACCATCAGCACTCTATCACCTGGCACCAGGACACTCTATCACCCTGGCACCACCAGGACACTCCATCACCCCAGCACCATCAAGGACACTCCATCACCCTGGCACCATCAGACACCCATCACCCCTGGCACCACCAAGGACACTCCATCACCCCGGCACCATCAAGGACACCCATCACCCTGGCACCATCAAGACACTCCATCACCCCGGCACCATCAGGACACTCCATCACCTGGCACTATCAAGACACTCCATCACCTGGCACCATCAAGGTCCTCCATCACACCGGCACCATCAAGGACACTCCATCACCGGCACCATCAGGACACCCATCACCCCCCCATCAAGGACACCCATCACCAGCACCACCGGACACTCCATCACCCCGGCACCATCAAGGACACCCATCACCCCGGCACCATCAAGACACTCCATCACCCCGGCACCATCAAGGACACTCCATCACCCCGGCACCATCAAGGACACTCCATCACCCCGGCACCATCAAGGACACCCATCACCCGGCACCATCATGACACTCCATCACCCCGGCACCATCAAGGACACTCCATCACCCCGGCACCATCAAGGACACTCCATCACCCCGGCACCATCAAGGACACTCCATCACCCCGGCACCATCAAGGACACCCATCACCCGGCACCATCAAGGACACTCCATCACCCGGCACCATCAAGTACACCCATCACCCGGCACCATCAAGGACACCCATCACCCCGGCACCATCAAGGACACCCATCACCCCGGCACCATCAAGTACACTCCATCACCTCGGCACCATCAAGGCCACTCCATCACCCTGGCACCATCAAGGACACCCATCACCCTGGCACCATCAAGGATACCCATCACCCTTGCACCATCAAGGACACTCCATCACCCCGGCACCATCAAGGACACCATACCTCTGCACCATCAAGGACACTCCATCACCCTGGCACCATCAAGGACACTCCATCACCTCGGCACATCAAGGACACTCCATCACCCACCATCACCCATCACCTGGCACCATCAAGGACACCCATCACCCTGCACCATCAAGGACACTCCATCACCTCTGCACCATCATGACACTCCATCACCTCGGCACCATCAAGGACACTCCATCACCCCGGCACCATCAGGACACCCATCACCCCGACACATCAAGGCACTCCATCACCCGGCACCATCAAGGACACCATCACCCTGGCACCATCAAGGACACTCTATCACCCTGGCACCACCATGACACCCATCACCCCGGCACCATCAAGACACTCCATCACCTCGGCACCATCAAGGACACTCCATCACCCCGGCACCATCAAGGACACTCCATCACCCCGGCCCATCAAGGACACTCCATCACCCTGGCACCACCAAGGACACCCATCACCCCGGCACCATCAAGGACACTCCATCACCCTGGCACCACCAAGGACACCATCACCCCGGCACCATCAAGACACTCCATCACCCTGGCACCACCAAGGACACCCATCACCCTGGCACCACCAAGGACACTCTATCACCCTGGCACCACCAGGACACTCCATCACCCCGGCACCATCAAGGACACTCCATCACCCTGGCACCATCAAGACACTCCATCACCCTGGCACCACCAGGACACTCAAAAGACACTCCATCACCCTGGCACCACCAGGACACCCATCACCCCGCACATCAGGACACCCATCCTGGCACATCGGACACTCTATCACCCTGGCACCACCGGACACCCATCACCCCGGCACCATCAAGGACACTCCATCACCCGGCACCATCAAGGACACCCATCACCCCGGCACCATCAAGGACACCCATCACCCTGGCACCATCAAGGACACTCCATCACCTGGCACCATCAGGACACTCCATCACCCTGGCACCATCAAGGACACTCCATCACCCCGGCACCATCAAGACACTCCATCACCCTGGCACCATCAAGGACACTCAATCACCCGGTACCATGAAGGACACTCCATCACCCGGCACCACCAGACACCCATCACCCTGGCACCATCAAGGACACTCAATCACCCCGGCACCATCAAGGGACACCCATCACCCTGGCACCATCAAGGACACTCCATCACCCTGGCACCATCAAGGACACTCCATCACCCTGGCACCATCAAGGACACTCCATCACCCTGGCACCATCAAGTACACCCACCCTGGCATCATCAAGACACCCATCACCCTGGCACCATCAAGGACACTCCATCACCCTGGCACCATCAAGTACACTCCATCACCCTGGCACCATCAAGGACACTCCATCACCCCGGCACCATCAAGGACACTCCATCATCTCGGCACCATCAAGGACACTCCATCACGCTGGCACCCTTAAGTGTAGCTAGTTTTAACCTTGGTAATACTCGTTGTACTGTACAGTCTTCGTGGCTCACCTGCTCTCCATTTGTAGCAGCACAGGAAAGGTTGACAACTACTATAGTATACATCTTTTTGTTTCACTATATTTGTTTGGTCTGTTGTATTACCTTAGTGTTTCCTTCCATTTATAAAATAATAATGACTAAAATTCTGACAATTTTAGGGAAGCTTATCAACAGATAAAATATATGGGTATTTTTTTTGGTGTGTCAGGTGAATATTGCACTTTAAATCTAAGTGAGTTTTGGGGGGCACCCGGTATATGGTATTGCCTGAGTTTGGTGGCCACATTCTCATACATATATATACAGTTATCCCCCACAGTTAGTGTTAACTGGCCCTCCCTAGTGGGCCACAATGAGGTGCTCTGCATGCAGTGGTGATCGTGGCGGCAGTTGTAGTATGATGGTGACTTTTGGCTGAACCTCACCAAGTACAGGTTATATCTCTTAATATTTTCTTTTATCAGCTTGATGGGCTACAGACAGACAGACCGACTGAACTGATAACAAAGCTTCTGTCATCGACGGTGATAAAAACTTTTGTATCGAAAAATTACTAAGAGTGACAACACTACCTAATAACAAGGTACGCTAACTCACTGTGGGTTAACAAGAGTGTAAGAATGGGGGTGTAAGGTGTGACAGTGTGTGTAAGGTGTGACAGTGTGTGTAAGGTGTGACAGTGTGTGTAAGGTGTGACAGTGTGTGTAAGGTGTGACAGTGGGTGAAAGGTGTGACAGTGTGTGTAAGGTGTGACAGTGTGTGTAAGGTGTGACAGTGGGTGTAAGGTGTGACAGTGTGTGTAAGGTGTGACAGTGTGCGTATGGTGTGACAGTGTGTGTAAGGTGTGAGAGTGTGTGTAAGGTGTGACAGTGTGTGTAAGGTGTGACAGTGTGTGTAAGGTGTGACAGTGTGTGTAGGTGTGACAGTGGGTGTAAGGTGTGACAGTGTGCGTATGGTGTGACAGTGTGTGTAAGGTGTGACAGTGTGTGTAAGGTGTGACAGTGTGTGTAAGATGACAGTGTGTGTAAGGTATGACAGGGTGTAAGGTGTGACAGTGGGGTGTAAGGTGACAGTGTGTGTAAGGTGTGACAGTAAGGCAGACAGTGGGTGTAGGTGTGACAGTGGGTGTAAGTGTGACAGTGTGCGTATGGTGTGACAGTGTGTGTAAGGTGTGAGAGTGTGTGGAAGGTGTGACAGTGTGTGTGGGTGTGACAGTGTGTGTAAGGTGTGACAGTGTGTGTAAGGTGTGACAGTGGGTGTAGGTGTGACAGTGTGCGTATGGTGTGACAGTGTGTAAAGTGTGACAGTGTGTAAGGTGACAGTGTGTGTAAGATGTGACAGTGGGGTGGGTGTGACAGTGGGTGTAAGATGTGACAGTGTGTGTAGGTGTGACAGTGGTGAAAGGTGTGACAGTGTGTGTAAGGTGTGACAGTGTGTGGGTGGACAGTGTGTGTAAGGTGTGACAGTGTGTGTAAGGTGTGACAGTGGGTGTAAGGTGACAGTGTGTGTAGGTGTGACAGTGGGTGCAAGGTGTGACAGTGTGCGTATGGTGTGACAGTGTGTGTAAGGTGACAGTGTGTGTAAGGTGTGACAGTGTTTGTATGTGTGACAGTGTGTGTAAGGTGTGACAGTGTGTGTAAGGTGTGACAGTGGGTGTAAGGTGTGACAGTGTGTGTAGGTGTGACAGGGTGTAAGGTGTGACAGTGTGTGTATGGTGTGACAGGGTGTAAGGTGACAATGTGTGTAAGGTGTGACAGTGTGTGTAGGGTGACAGTGTGTGTAGGTGTGACAGTGTGTGTGTAAGGTGTGACAGTGTGTGTAAGGTGTGACAGTGGGTGTAGGTGTGACAGTGGGTGTAAGGTGTGACAGTGGGTGTAAGGTG